ATTTTTTCATCTCTTCCCAAGGGCAAAAAAAGCACGGATTGCAAAACAGGAGCAGGGATCAAGGGGAGAGACAAGCAGGTAGAGCTGTCCAGGGGATCATCACCCTGGGGGAGGGAAGGGGGCCCTTGCACTCACAACCTAAGACATCACATAAGGGGGGGCGTGGCTTTCTAGAATGGCGCCCAGAAATGACAGCCCGGGCCCGTAACCCTTCCCAAGGCCCCAAGAGCCAATGTACCTATCCGCAGCAACCAGGCATGCGCTAATGTTTGTTTTCCAAGGGTGTGTCGTTTCGGGTGGTCTGGGCTAGGGCCACCACCCCTGGTCCCCAAAAGAAAGCAGCGACGAAGCCACAGCACCCATACATGTTTCGCAATTTCGGTCCCAACAAGGTGAGGCTGGCCAGACCGGACAGTCAGGTCTCATACTGTGCGACGCAAAGGCCTTGCGGATGGACCCATTTCTTCTCGAGCCCAATGGCGCCCCGGCCCCAGCCCACTGGAAGGGAGAGAGGAGGACCCTCCTCCGTCTGAACCTCGGTGAGCTAGATGAAGCAAGGGCTGGGGACACTCCCGGAAGTGGACGCAGATTCCCCGGCACCAGAGCGAATGAGTCGAGCACTCTTGGCTTCATCTCCCTTCCGACCACAGAGCTGAAGGACCCTTTCCGGGGCCCTGGCTGCTCTCCACCCGATTCTTGCCTACCAGCGTAGCACTTATAGCCAGTCTGTGCCTCGCGACACGGACGGCCGGGTTCGGTGCACGGTAGCATCGTTTCTACGGCGTGGCGTGGGAGCCTGGCCGTCACAGCGCACTAGCTATGATTACCTATCCAACCGTCTGTTTCGAGGCGAATGGCCGTGTCAGGGTCCAGGGAAACACAACGTAGTGCACGGAAGCCTTCTACCTCATTTTATAATTAGCGCTTGTGTGATATAGAAAGCTTGGGCTCGTGGCTCATCTCGAGCCCTGTTTGTTGGTGAATGACTGGTTCGTCTGCCCTGACATCGGGTGTCGTGATGTGTGTGGCTTGTGGCAGGGTGGTTCACACACATCATCATCAGTGCGCGCGAATGCTAGATGATCGTGACATGCATCCAAGATGAGGGGAGGCCTGACGCAGCTAGGGGGGAAGAATTGGAGACTTCAGAAATCAATCTACTCCTCACGGCTGGACGGGCTTGGAAGGGGAAGGAGATGCACCGGCCGCGTCGACGGTTGGGCGCACCATAATATTACCAGGACGCACATAATTTATTGCCCACACACGTATTAATAAAGCGTTGCACCACACCTCCGACGAGGCGCCGATCATGGGCCAACATTCGTACGCGAATCGTCTGAGAGTCAGCGTCGTAGGTACCACGACAATTCCAGCAACCTGGCAGCCTGGAGCAGTTGGTATTCATGCTCCGTGGCCGAGGGAGGCTGGTGCTGCGACGCGGACGGGTGGTGCCTAAAGGCTAGGCCAACGAAATTAATTTGGCGTTCCATTGCCTGGTAATGGCTGTGGCCAACCAGCCCCCAGGAAATACCTACCCGGTTGGGTATGAGGAGCGCGGCCGTAGAACCCGAGTCCGAGTCCATCTGGCTGCCTGTTTGCCGTATGTGTTGCCTCTCCCGGGCATTTCCAGCGCACATCCCGTCGGATATGCGAAGAAGGAATTGCTGAGGCAAACGAGGCTGGCAGGTGTCGACCAGTCAGACCAATGTGTGGGATCGTGGCCACCCACAGATGCCTGGAAGAGACCCCATTTGCCAGCCTCGCTTGGGAGCATGGTCTTGAGCGGTTCTGGCATGGTCGCCGATGGCCTGGGAGGATGGATGGGTGGGTGCGGAGCGAAGGGGCAAAAGGCGTGGTGCGGACGTGGTGCCGCACACCTAATCACAATCCCGCCCTTTTCCTCCACCAACGGCACGGTGCGCTGCGATGTCACATTCACCCATGATGTTGTAGTGGGGAAGCCAAAGCAGCGTGCTGCATGCTATGTAAGCAGCCCGCTTGGAAGAAAGAATCCCATTGTTTTGGTTGGGTGGGCGGATCGACCCCATGCTCGTCATTTTTCCCTGGCCAAGTCGCCATGTTTTCTGGCCGCTTGTTCCAGGGCTTGGGGTATTCCTGCCCTTTTTCTGAGATCGCAGACGCACTTGCATAAAATTTAAAGTCCTGCACATCTGCCCGGAGCCGCCCTGTTTGTGGAGTCGGCCGATACATACGCCAGTCGGTGACTCAGTGAGGCGGTCGGAAATGTGTCTGCCCGTTTTCCTCGGGGCGATCATTTTTCACACATTCGCGCACGCACATGCGACCGCGTGCAAGAGCGAACTCAATACCAGCAGCTGGATGGGATGTGTCTATGATGTGACAGTCGCAGTGTGATCCAAAGTGGCTGCATCAGCGCAAGCGCCCCGAATCACACTGGAGCGCTGTCTGCATGTGACAACTGGCTGGCCCATTAGTGTGTGTGCGCATGTGTGCGTGGCACATATTGGTCGAAAATCCAGCCCTTTGCAGCGAATGGATATCGGAGAATGCGTGACCCTCTCTTTCTTGCTTGGCTGGCAATTGTCTTGGACGACTCGTAGAGAATTCCAGCGCACGAAACCGCATTTGACCAAAGCATAATGCAATTGTTCGTGATTGCCAGCCATGTGGAATTTTCGTACAGTGACCAGTGTCTCAGGCTAAACAACAACCCATCCTGTGGCAATATCAGCAGTGGCAACAGGATCAAAACGACGAGGCCTCGTCGGGAACGAGGTGTCAAAGTGAGAGGCACAGGCGGAAGACCGCTGACCCCGGATCCCCGCGTCGGGAATCATCGAAAGCGAACTGGAAGCGTTCTCACGTCTCTGCTCTTGATGGATGCAACCTTCACCGGTGCTTGCTTTGCTCGTCGCCTCATATCCCCTCTTTCTTACCCCAAAGAGCACAGGGCGGCATACGCTGCAGCCTCCTACCAGTCGCTGTCGCACCATTCAGAGTCGTACATGTTACCTATCATAATCGCACTACCATTACCTACCACCCAATTATGATGGCCAACCGGTCTGCATTTTTTGAAAGCCTGCCTCCAACAATAGGTCAGCGGCACCTCGCTGCTCTTTTGTGTCACCCTCCTAAGGTTACAAGTGTGTATCAGTCGTCAGCCGCGGCCGCCTTGAGTGGCACAATGGGCAGTCTTGCACATCATATGCATAGGGCTTGCACATAAATTCACTGGCTGATACGGCTCCCGTAGTGTACCTAGGCCAGCTCGCCGCGTGCTATATAATTGCGCAATGCTCCGCCGCGGGTGATATAGGAGATCTTGCGAAATCGTAGTTCGCCGCACGACCAGGAAAAGTTCCCAGCAACACGAACTTTTTCAACGGACCTGGCCCTTGCTTGTCAAGGGAATAGAGTTTCTTGAATTATTGTCCCGATTAAAAATTTTCGTCGTCGTCGTCCGCCTACCAAAAAAGAATCCCAGCGGCGAGAGCACGGACGTCCGGGGAGGCGGCAGGGTAGAAGGGCCCATATTGATACCCAGACTTCTCATTTCGCTTGTCCCGTCCCAATTTGCTGCACCGAGATCGTGGCAGTTGGGAGCTAGACGTTGTCGGATCGCCGGGTACGATTGTGTCTTTGGTAGGGATCCTGGCAGCAAAGGCTTGTCGCCTTCATTATTCTTTCTTCTTGTCGACAGGGACCGGCCCCAACACTGAAGAACGAAAAGTGGACGGACACTCTGGAAGTGTGATCAATTTACCGGGGCTGAAACGAGCAAGAGCCGTTTTGTTTCCTTCACAAGCCAGATCCAAGTTACGGCCGACACCACAATCTGTGTGGAAATTTGGATGTGCTTTTTTTGAGTCATTCCTTCCTTCCTTCCTTCCTTCCTTACGGGCTACGGTTGGATCCGATAGCAACGGCACGGCACAGCCTCAGTGAATTTTCCAGCCTCTTCCAATTTATTCAGCACAAATCCTCCAATTCAAGCGCGCCTGAGTTTCTAGACGGCCCGCGAAGACACGAGAAGAGACCAGACGCAGCGAGAGGACAGCAAAGAGACCAGCGGACTCGAAAACGTCCGGCCGTTTACACACACGGGAGTTAGATTGATGGTTGGGCCGGGCGCGGGCTGGGAAAAAGCACCGTTGCGTAATCGCCAGCCAGTCGCCTGGAGCTCACCGGCGTGTACTGTGCCATCTGGTAGCGTGCGGCACTGTGCACTGTCCTTCTGCAGCCACCAACAAACTCCAGCGCTTCCGCTGACTCTACGTCGACCCCGCCGTGGTGACTAAGCCCCGGGCAGACAGCTGGAAATCGCTAGAAACACCCCCTGCTTCCAAGGCATTGCAGCACCAGAGATTTTTCATCGCATCCCTGCTCATGTCTACTTGGCTCACCCCTGCCCTTCCCACCTTTTTTTTCTGAGTCCTGAGGAGTCAGTGCAGTGCGAGCCTGAGTGAGTGGGCACACAAAAATTAGTCCCCCTTCGGCTGAAAGTATATATCTGTTCGCACACACCCACACACACTCTTCCTCTTCTCCTTCAACTTATTTTGGCTTTTGCCAATATACAATCATTTTCAAGATCCAGATCAGTCCTCGACAGTCGGTGTCGTCACCGGCATTCCCCATCAATTACCCCTGTTGGCTTTCGATCGCCAACAATTCAAATCCCCCCCTAGCCAGCCTGCTCTGCAGAGTTCTGGCTACTTCTCCTCGTCGAGGATTTTAGTCTCAAGAGATATTGGTCATGTTTGCCGCATCTCAAGACTTTTCTAACCCATTTTCATCGAACCACATACCACGGTGACGCGCTGTCGCCACATCCTCGCGTCCCTTCCTGACGCGAGTCGAAATATCAGGAAGCCAAAAGAAGAAAAAATTACATAAAAATAGGGTTCGATCCAACCTTCTCACCGTTCAAAAGCAGTTGCCGGTGGAGGCCGAGAGGAAGCGCGAGGGTTCGACAGAACAACAACCGCCGCGAAACAACAGTCCTCAAGATCATGAACAACTACCCTTCACCGAGAACACCTGGATCGACTCCTATGAGTCCGATCCGCGAGTGGGAATATTCACGAATGTCGTCCGCCACTCCCACCCCTTCGCCACGGCCCAACTGGCTCGATGCGCAAAACACCCCTCGACGACCAGCCACTCGTGCTGCTCATGGACACGGACGAGTCAACAGCTACTCGCAAGACTCGGCATTCAGCCCTCGTCCACCGCGCGATTCTCCGCGATACAACAGCTCGGGCCACTATGCCACGGTTGATGTGAGTTACAATGATTTCTCGTCTCGACGGCCCTCAGTGTCGCACGATCGTTCCAAGTCAAAAACATCGACTCCCAAGTCGTCCAAGAAGCACAGTCGCCGACACTCGTTTACCTATGTCCGGTCTTCAACTCCCTATGGAGAATCCGACGAGGACGAGATCTTCGAGGCCTTGGGTTGCACCTTTACGTTGCCTGCCCAGTCACGGTCATACTGTCGCTATTCCTCGTATTATCCTGACAACGAGGGGGTATGGTACACTAATCGTGGCCACTATTCGCAGGAAGTCCCTCTTTACAACGACTACAGGCGAGACCCGGCCTTCGACATGCCCCGTCCGACCCCTCCCCAGACGCGACCGCCCACCAGCCATTCCCACTCCCGACGAGCATCGGCCTCGATCCCTCAACGATCATCCACCGTCCGCCCACCCGCGAACGCCTCCCCCCGTGTTATGAAGCCTCCGGCTCCTCCCGTTGCCACAGAGGCGCATGCGGCCGAGCACAGGATCCCTCCAGGTTTCTCGTTGAAGAACTGGGATCCTCGTGAACAGCCCATCCTCTTGCTTGGCAGTGTGTTTGACGCCAACAGTCTGGGCAAGTGGATCTATGACTGGACCGTCTACAAGGCAGGATCTCGGGCGCCTCTCGCAGAGATGGCTGGTGAGCTCTGGTTACTCCTTCTCGATCTTTCAGAGAAGACCAACCGCGCCGAGGGGATTGTCGGCTCGATCCGCAGCAAGGAGAAGAAGCAGATCGTCGAGGAATTCCTTGACAGCAGCGAGCGTCTCATGAGCATGCTCCAGCTTCTACTTAAGAACTGCGAGGCGCCTATGCTCAAGGCCAGCAGCAAGAAGAAGCAGTCGCTTGGACAGAAGTCCGGAATCGAGTTTGTTGACACACTCTTTGGCCGTGACCGCGAACTTGACCGAACGGAGAAGTTCATGCAGAAGGTGCGCAAGTGGGCTCTCCGCTTCGATGTCAATGTTAGTCCCATTCTGGATCACCCTACCCAGTAAAGGGCTACTACTACAATACCGACCATCCCCCGGACTCACATCACATAACATGCACACATCTACACCTCTAATGTCCTCACCCTCAAGCTAACGGAATCATTTACCCACCCTCCTGAGGCTAAAACTACTCTACCGTTTCCCGTTATGTGATCCTCGGCCATGCATGGTTTGATATGGATCCGGACCCAACTGAGGATTTTATACTTCCCACCGGATGGAGAGGCCGACGAAAGGACTGTACATTACAATTATTGATTTCCCGGATTTCCTTTGGATACCCTCGGTCAATCTCAATAGGACCGCTTTTTATCTCAATGTGCCATTTTCCGGAGGGCACATCATTTTTATTATACCAACACAACTTTTTCCTAAGAATGCAAAGGGCGACCTGTATCAGCAAACGCACATGCGTGGAGGCCTATTTCTTAACAGGAGTTTTATTTTCCTTCAAGATACCCAGCAATTTTTTTATTCGCTCTGGAAGTCGGGTGCCGGTTAGAGGCTGAGACGCGCAGCGGAGGAAAGATACAATGGGGAGGGAAGACAAGGAGGGTTCATCGACTGATGACATGATGACTCTCCCTACACACGTTTCTTTTGTGGTTCCATTTGTTTCTGCGATTGGGATGGAAAAGTTGGGACTTGGTGGAACTTTGCTTTATTGATTTTTCGGACATGTTTTAGAATGGAGGAATAGATACGAGATACCTTACGGTTAATAACGTTTTCTGAAGTTTGGGCGCACACACCCGGATGGCTTATACGCCTCAGCGGGTGACGGATCATTTTATTCTTTTTCTCGATAGGTAGTTTTATTTTCTGGAAGCCACACGCTTTTCACTTCTCGCTTTCTTCTGTTTTCGATTCTCGGGTTTTTCCATGGGCGCAATTTTTTATTTAGCAACCTTGCTTGCGGGCAAGTAGTGGTTTTGATACATAGAAAACACAAAAACATAAAAAAAATGCAGTTCTTGCACTCGCTCTTCCCTTTCGGTAATTGTGATGTTCATGAGGTAAACTTGAAAATGCACCATCATATCCATAACAGGTAACAAGCTCTCCACGCCATCAAGGCTTTCCCCTCATCACCTTTGCCCAGTTCTGGACATGATATTCTTGAAGCCCGTTACGTCAAACCATGGTAATCACCTGGCGGGAAGGCGGAGGATCAATTACGTCGCTGAGACCACATGGGGGGAAGGGGAAAAGCAGGGACCGGAAGCAGGAACCATGGACTTTAGCGGCGGGGGTGCACTGATGGTTTGCTGATCACCGGTTTGGCGGCTGTGGGTAAAGTGGGAGTTCGATGCGATGGGCGGGACACACCTTTGCGATGAGGTCATGCGTCCGCCACGTTCTGGGCAGCGGGAAGAGGCCACGGTTTGGGAAGAAGGAGGGGGTGAGTCGAGGATGTCGTACTGTGCCTGGGTTACCATGCATGCATGTAGGAACAGCGAGCGAGTCGCATGAGGAGGAACATGGGGGCGGATAATAATTGTCCCAAAAAAAAAAATCAACGGGGCAGGGAAACAGGGAAAAGGGGAGCGAGGGGCAAGGACACAGAGATGAGTCATGTCGGAAACGTCCCCTGTGTTCCGTTGGCCAAAAGACCCATTGATTGCTGGTATTGGGGGGCGAGGCTGTTTGAAGAATAATGAGAATAGGGGGCGGGCATTAGATCGCCGAATTTTAGGTTGAGATTGGGAAAAGGGGGAAGTGGAATGGAAGTGGAAAAAGTCATTGTTCGTGACAATGGGGCCGTCAGCATTGGCTGGAGGCTGGATGCCGGCGGCCCCCGATGTTTCGTTGGTTGCCGCTAACATGAATTTTTTTTGGTCAAATTGATCGAAATGGATGGCTGAGCTCGATGGACGGGTGTGCATGCCATGCACCCTGCAGGCATGAAGCACGCAGGTAGCACATTGCTTGCATCCTGGGAGATGTCTTGGATGGATGTCTGCAGGATTAATAATATATGTAATAGCCCACTGATTATTACATTCACCACCGCTGCAATTGCATTTGGCTTCGGGCCGCCCCCGGCTACTGTTAGTGGCCTCAGTCCGTGCAGCCAACCCACTAGCCACTGGTGGCCATGGAGGAAAACAGCTTGGCGTCTTCTCGTCTACAGTGCACATTGTCTACCTAGTTCTCCCTCCACTTCATCGCTGGAGGGGCTGCTACCGAAGCAGGCGACATGTGATGTCGGTAGCCGTCCCTAGTGTCCATTCATCGAGAGACAACGCAGCAGCACATCCGTATTCGTTCTCTCCATCCCCACAGCACACCATGAGCCAGACGCATCTGCACGTCGGCGATACAATGCGGTTGCAGCAGCAGCGGCAGGGTTGGGCCAGTGAGACCCGGTTCCCTCCTTGCCGGTCCAACGTGAGATGATGCGGGACAGGGCTCGCCGCCACAGTGCATTCCTTCGTCTTCCTCCTGCGATGTCCATGTCCGTATCATTCGCCATGCAAGCGCGTCGCTGCAGCCTTGCCTCGGGACTTGCCTGGACTTACCCGTAATGATCAATGCGCCATTTGCGGACTTGAGGAGGCAGGCCGTCGGCAGTAATTACACGCTCGATCCCGGTGCAACCACTTGCTTCGTCCTTGGCCTTCCCCTCCCCCGCACCCTCACGTCGTAGAAGCGAGCGCCGGCCGCATTCGCTCAACGAGGTAGTATGTACCGTGTGCGAGCTTTCCGCAATTGCTCGTCCGGTCTGGCGAGTGCCTGCTGCTTCCCCTCTTCTTGGCCGGTCCCTCTATTTTTACACATCGCTCACCCCTCTTTTGACACATCTGCCTCGGGTGGTGACTAAAATAAATGAGGCTGGGTGAGAACAAGACACTTACATGTGCATCGCATATCGGCCAGACCAACCGTTTGCTGCGATGGGGAGGGTGGTGTGGGGATGCTGTGACGCTGTGTGATGAGGATTCGTGGTGATGACGAGAGCCCTTCTATACGGGCGTGGTGGTAAGCGCCTACAGCGTCCAACCAGCACCTGCATGTCTGCTGCGGTAGAGGGAAATGGGTCCTATGGTCAGAACGTTAAAAAAACCTGTATGCAGTGAAGCCCAGCACGTGGACCAGGCATAAAAGGGTAATGCTTAACGGGCACAGTCCATCTACCCATCCTATTGCTCTGGTGTGGCACACGGAAGGGGCTGGAGGGGGAGGGGTGTGCTTGGCCTGCGTGTCCATGCTGCTTCCTGTTGGGCATGGATGCAAGAGTGAGTGGTATGTTGAGGTAGCATTCTAGCCTTGTTCGAGAACGAACTGTGCTGCAGAGCGGCGTGGTCTCTTCCGCCGTTACCCACGAGAGGGAATCCCGACCAACCCAGACCGGACTTACCAGAACTGGCCATGAACTCGATCTTGCATTCGCCGGTGGACCTGATGCGGGAATATCTGACCAGTAATCAACTTCGAGGGAACCATCTGCCACACTCTGAACCGTGGTGCAAGTCCTACATTGCCCAACCATCACCCACTGGCAAGCGTGCAGTTCTGTCAGCGTTGTATGTGAATTTCTATTATTAGCACATCATTTCTCACGGGCGCGAATTTGTCGGGCTTGGGGAGGACTGACGGCCACGAACAGCCTCATCTGGACCCGTTTGGGTTTGCAAATGTCTCGCATAAGATATGCTGTGCGTTCTTACTGTCTGCTACTGATCGACAGTCCTTGAAGAAAGGATGCGTCACACCAAGCCGCCTGTCTAACCTCCAATGGAAATTGTGGGCTTACTGTTTGCTTTGATAACAAGAGCCACAATAGTAAGCGAATGATAGACTTTTGTCTTGTCTATTGTGGACTGTTCTGGTGTTTTGATGTCTAATGTGTGAATTCCCTTGTCGATGGCTTTGATGTGTACAGTTGTCACCATCGATGTGCGTACTTCGACCCATCTTGGAAACACTGAAATGAGCTGTTTGGGGCATATGTATGTGGGTTTGTATTGTGAATGGAAGACAGGGGGCATACGAGACCTCATTTCTGGAGAATAGTCAGTATAGTGAGATTGAATAGCATCCAGCTTGCAATAATACGAGAATAGCCATGGAGTTAGACGACGAGAGGCGAATAAGACTTACATATAGTAGATCTGGAGACTATTGTATGAGTGACGCTCGAAGAAACATCTTGTGGGCCTGCCGCAGCGAAACGAGTTCTCCCATGATCGCTGTTGCCCGGTGCTCTGCTTGTTTGATCTATTTCCATGATGGTAAACATTCCTGAGACCTTAATCATGTGCTATTGGATCAAGTTGACAGTTAGTTGCTTGGAGGGAGTGGAGTATGGATTGCTTGGAGAGATAATGTTGACTGCTGCTATAGCAGCAACCGCATCAGCGAAGAGGGGTGAGGACCTGGTCGATATGGCCTATTGCTATAACAGTATTATGTCCCTACCCTTTGCCATTTGGGAGAAGTTCTCGGCCTGGTCGAAAATGAAGAACAGAAGAAGAAGACAAATGTAGGTATTGAGGGAGGTCTGGGTTTTACAGCCTCAACTACGTAGCCACTGTCTGAGGTACATTCGTCGGCTGAATTGTCAGAAGCATCGTCGTCGAAGTTGTACCCCATGGGATCAGACGCTCGGGTCGATATGAATTAGAACCGGGCAAGGCATTCATTTCAATGCAATACATTGCATATTTTAGGGTTAGCTATTGGGAGTATCTGGTTACACATCATGAACACTTGCCCCAGGAAGTTGATATTTCACAGCCTCGGGTCATGGGCTGTTGACCAAGGGCAACCAAGCGTGAGAGAAACCAAGCTAGGTAGAGGCTGGCGGTGCTGTGGATCTTTCGTCGAACTGGCGGATTTTGTGTGATCCCTGCCTGAGATTCTCGTCATGGCATCGATGAAACTTTTAGTCGAACCAACCCATGGGGGCGGGGGCGAACTTTGGAATGGCTTTATGTGCCTTCATTACGCTTTCGGTTGTTTCCTGTGAGCACACAAGGCACATTCCATCCTCCACCTGC